AGTAGGGTACAAGTCCATCTCAAAGCATACTTGCCCTATGACATAGGTATAATTACCTAGGTGCATCTGAACAGGAAGGCACGCCTCCTAAGGGATCCATATTATTCATCCTGAACAGAGGAGAGTTGGGGCATGAGTCTGTGTCTTAAAATCACAGTCTTACACTAAAAGGTTTAAAGCCAATAATAAAGGTATTAATTACATCATCAAATTTTATAGCCATTCCTAAGACCTTTATCCTCTCTGACATCTAATGAGAGAGTGCCTGCTGTCTGGGGCTGTGATTAGCTCACAAAAAGGAGAGATTAGAGTATTAGCCATTACTGAGCAGATGGATCATTACATAGGATCTTAAGCCAAGAAATAAATATTCTAAGTAAGTCACATTTAGAAGATACAAAATATTTAAATAAAGTGTTAAATACCTGTGGAGATTAACGAGGATCCAACTTTTTGGTGTGACAACACACATACCAGAAGACGGAGTGAAAAATGTATAAGGCATTCACATCGTTTCTCTGGTTAATCAAGCTCTCTCAGTCACAATGACTACTTCTACTCAGGAGTCTATGGGCCATAGGAATCCTGTGCATGAATATCTATTTTAGGAGACTGCAGTCAGGTGACTCATGTACCTATTGCTCTTTATCTAGTATTACTCAGACTGTTACCTGTATTTATCAGTGTTGCAGTTGTTGGGATTTTTAGTACACAAATAATGAGTACAGTAGGTTTTTGCTTTGCTTGCATTTTTAAGTTTGGATACAAAGAAGGTGGTTGATAAAGTGTTTTAGAGAGATAGATAAAGTGTTGTAGAGAGATAGAAAAACCATGGGGCTTAGTCTGAAGAACTAGCTCATTACTTCAATGTGAAATTGTAAGCATTTAAATCTATATTTTTAGGAAAATGCCAACTGAAATCATTGCATTGTCTGTACTGTATGGTTTTATGTTTGGCTGTGTTTACAAGGCTGAGTCAGTTTGTTGGTCCCAGAACAACTTCATGAAGTGGTTTGCACTTTGACATTACATCAAAGGCAGTGCTGTTAGAATAGGAATAAACTGAGAGTCTCAAAAAAAAAAAAAAATGTATTCCACTTACATTCTTTGTTATGAGCAAGACACCATTTGGGAAAAGGGTGAATACAGAGCCATTTAGGGAGAGGACTGAATTGAGAAGAACTATAATCTATCTCAGTTGGTGGTTGGGAATGACGGAAGGGAGTTTGTCTCTGAAAAGAAATCTTAAAATGACTTTAAGTATGGTGCTTTTAAGGTATGGCATTTCTGCACTGTTCCATTGGATTCTATAGCTCATGTTTACATGTTCCAACTATCTTCCCTGCAAACTCTGCCCAGAATCTCAGAGTGGAAGTGGATAAATTCTCCCTCTGCATGCAATATTTTCTAGAACTACTAATCAGAAGGAGTTAAATAACCAAAGACTAAAGATATGTCAACTCAATTAGTCAATATTCCTGGACCTGGTTGAGCCAGAGAACAGAGAATACTGAAAATCCTGGGGCAGGCAACCACAGATTAAATCAGCGATTATAAGGATATCTTTGGATGTGGAGACTACTTTTCCTAAAATAATGTAGACACAAGCAAAAAACAGACTGTGACGTACATGTGGCAGTTGTATTGTGAAGTTCCAGTGTTACAAGCTCAGCCTGCAAGTCTTTTTTTATTTCACTGATCTTGCCCGTTTCTGTGTGCTCCTTTCCTGCTTTCATTGTTGCTTTTCCATACATGCCTGTTTTTTGATGTCCAGGTTGCTTTTCTTGTAGTTTTTGGCAATTCTGTTGTGAAACACATAGAAAGCCCTTCTTTTCCTCCAGAGGCTCTTCTTTCCCACCTGTCTTGACTGTTATCAATTAATCACATACAAATTGCTCATGTGGGTCACTTCTTTATTGTTGGAGAAATAGACAAGATTTTTTATATTCAAAAGTGTCATTTTGGTGTATCAAATAGAAATCACGCAGTATAAATAAGACCTCTAAAACCTTCTAACCAAGTAATTCCCAAACAGATATAACTGATATTTCTTACAGAATGGAAATTTATTTGTTCAATATGAACTTGGACTACACGTTAAACATTATTTGTAATATTTGTAATTGATGTTCAAGATAACAATAACAGAAAAGACAAAATAATACATAATTCTGAAACTGTCTTGTTAGATATTTGAAAGTAATAGAAAAATCTCATGATGTTTTTAATAGCTTGACTAAGTTTTTAATCTTCAGTAGAGTTTTTACTCTGATTGTTTCTCTACCACTGGTCTAGTTGTAAACGCTTTGGAGAAATTCTGGGGACAAAGCTCTCTTTATATAGTCTGAAGGTATTTTCTTGCTTGTGGTTTAAGATTTTAAAGAGAAAACAAAAGTTAAAAATGTCTAGACTGGGCAACAGAACTATTGCAAGCTGTAGCAGGGCGGACACCCAAAGAGGAAAATCCTTCCAATTTAAAAATAGAAACTTGTTCCATCTGTGGATTATCTTTAATCCACTAATGTTTGCACATGGTACTCTACCTACATGCACGAATGGCATATGGACTAGAACGGAGGCATGGATTGACATTGGACTAATTCCCATCCATTTTTATAGTTCTAAACTGAAAAAAAAAAAAAATCCAGAAGAAATGTGTGTGTCTTTCAAACAGATAACACCAGTCAGCTATGGGAACACTAATATTTATGGAGATAGAAATCCATTGAACTCAAAGTGGTCCATGGCTCAGTCCAGCCATCAATGCAGGTTGGTTAATCAACTCTTTGGAATTATCTCTGCTAACTTCAGTACACAGCGCGTTATACTTCATATGGTCTTAATGATCCACTTCTAAAGTCTAAGTCTTTTCAGTACTGTGTATTTACATGTCTAGTTTGTCTCTAAAATTATTTATGTATCCATCATTCACAAAAGACAATCCCATACTTTTGGGAGTCTGAAATGTGCTTCTCATTATATGTGTACTTTCAATATTAAAATGTGCATACAAACTATAAAACTTGCAATGTGTTTTAAAATGTTTGATTAGATCTTGAGGGGACATATTCTTCAGAGGCATCATCTGCTGTGTAAAATTAAGGCAAATGCAACACTGTGCTCCTGTGCAAACACCAATCCAGTCCTGCTCTTCCAAGTAAACTGCAGTTGAAATCCAATTACTAATATTATACTTAAGACGAATTTGCCTCCTAGCAATTTTGCTATTAAGACTTTATTATGGTTAAATAGATACAGCCACTACTGTGATTGGTTTGTTGTTTTTTTGATTACTACTATCCATAGACTAGCACTTCAGCATGGGCCATGTGCAGCTGTGGGATACATAAAAAAGTGACTGTAGGCAGCATTTGCCTTTCATCGTTCCAGCACAGTCACACCATAACTGGATCATTAGTGAAATAAAGAATGGCCTGAAGCTGTCACGGAAAACATTTGGCTGTAGCATTCCTGGAATTTGGGGAATCAACTAAATATTGATGATTGTAAGTCTGCCTGTTTCTGTCTTGAACACCTTCTAGGTGAGAGCTTTAAGATGGAAAGAGATATGCAGAGATATGTGCTCTTCAGGGAGTCTTCTTTGCTAGGGCTTTGCCAGTAAAGACTGCTTTATACTTAAAATGATGTATGCCAGCTAGGGTGACTTTAAAGTTCTGCACTTATGAGAGGCCAGACTCCAGCCTGAGTTACAGTCAATACTTTATAAACTGCAACAGATAACAAGTGGTCTGAAAATATTAAATACAAATCCATTTTTTCTTTTAGGATTTTGCAAGACTGCTGCATTATTGCTCGTATCCTTGTGGTTTATTTGTTTTAAAACAGAAGCAGTGTGTCTAATTGCTTAATAGAAAATGTACATACAAAAGCTAAAAGTGATTATATACAATAGCTAAAAGTCATTACATTGACTTTGCAAACAAATGTAAGATACAAGAGTTATGGTAAGCTAAATATTAGCCTTATGATTAGACAGTTTCTAGCTTCATTTTAATTATGTTGTTAAAGAAATCTTTGAAATTATATAAATACAAGTTCTAAGTTATCTTTTCAAAAATCATCTAGAACTGGATAAATGAAGTTGTCTTTGAACAAGCAGTATGCCAAAATCTGTCCTCCGCAGATCATGGAAATTACTCCAGATCCTGAAAGGAAAAGCATGACTGTTTTGTATTTTTTTATTATTTATTTGCAGTGGAATACAAACATTATAATAAAACTTTAGTCAGCTTTTCTTATTTTTTTAATGGTCTGTTTACTTAAACATTTTGCCCAAGACTTTAACCACCCACATAGAGATCAGTCCTGGTAGTTGCTGATACAAAACCAGTTGCAGGACAAGAGATTTATTTGCTTGTCTCTGTCTTTTAGGAATTTACTACAGCTGTCAATCCATGTTATACATCATAAAAGAAAGAAGAGCAGAAGCCAGCACTTTCTCCCTTAACTGCTTTCCAAGATAACATATACTAGCGCATGACTATATTTCTAATTTTACAGAAAATTAAACATTCTAAAATTTATATTTGCTATTCACTGTAAGAAAATGCGATGACTGAGATTTGTCTTGTCTATCATAGTACCTGTATATAGTGTTTATAAAACTTGTTTCAGAATGTGTCTATTTCATTCCATTGATTGTAAAGAGTACCAAGGAAGACTAGTTAGGCTAACTGTCTTTTTGACACCTGCATTTGATGAAATAGATAGCTTGATTATTCAGGAATTAACATGGCTCATTTCAGCAATGTGAACATATCTGCTGTTTGGTAGGAAGAATAACATAATTTGCGTACATTCTGGTCTTAAAATAGGTGATATTTTAAGGCAAGTCAAATGTTAGTTTATCAATACCTGCCTGTGTCCTTAAAAGTGTAGATGCAAAGAATATATTTCTTCCTCAAATACTGACAATTCCCAAAGTATTGTGACAACAGACATTTAATAGAAAAAGAAATCATACTGTAAATGCAAATTTTCTAGATTCTAGTGATTTGAACTTTAATTTTACCTAATGCCAGCCACCAGTGTAACATCAAAGGGAATTCAGACATAACTGCAAGGAAAAGAAAAGGAGGAATGTAAGTTTTTAAACAGTAAGTATGAGGATATGCAAATATTGCATTACAGTATATGGTATCTGCTTAGTTATCTTTCAGAGATTACATGCTTTAGATTTATTGAAATTGCAAACTCTTACTGAGGTCCTAATCATTCAAATATTTGGTTATACTGTTGCATGAAAGTGGGTGAGCAATCCCACTGGAAGTCATCTTTAAACATTAAAAGCGTGTGCTAAATTGAAGTTTTAGATTGTAAAATCTCTGAAAAATAAATGGTTTGTTACTACGTAACTGTACAAAGTTTAGTAGAGTGCTTCCATGTTGCTGCAATGCAAATAATTTAACCTGTCTAATGTTTTCAGCTTAATGGGTGATAACAGCACAAGAAAGACAGGCTAGGACTGTGCACTGCGAGTCATCACAGATACCTAGCTCTGCTATGTGTCATGCAGCTACCCTTTTCTCCCGTAAGATGACCAATATCCCCACTGTATGATCAATATGAGCCTGTATCAGCCTCCAGAAGAGCCAGCAGGGCTGTTGAAGCACTGAAGGGAGCTAGGAGGCATGCTGCATGCTCTGGCAGTGCAGGTGAACTTTGGCTGGCCATTTGAAAGCAATAATAACAGTTCTGGTGTTGTTTGGAGATCAGTGTGCACCATATGATATGATGATAGAAGATAGTTTACTTCAGAGTTTAAAATTCTGAAATTTTATAAGAAAATTGTTTAGTTTTGTTATTACTATTTTTTTTAATACTCCAACAGATACAGAATCAAGTTTTAAATGTCAGTATTTAAAAACATGGATAAATGAAATGGATGGAAAGTACAGATTAATGTGTTTTTAGCTCCAAGGAAGAATGGACTACACATATATTTAGCAGCAAACCTACTTACCAACTGAGGTTATGATGATATGAATAACAGTAACTGTTACAGCGTAATCCCAAACCCATTCTTCCACAACCAGGGCAAATAGCAGGCCACAAATGAAGAAGGTTATTTCCAGTGAGACTACAAGAACTATAAATGAAAGCAGGATATTTACACCAAGCATAGTTTTGAAAGGCTTTTTTCTCATATTCAAAGGTAATAGCACTAGGAAGTTAAAATCTCTGATACAATGTTATGCAAATTATTTCTGATTAGATCAAATATTACACCGATGGTTTCATTATAAAGTTCATTTCTAATTTTACCACAGACACCTGCATGGGTTGTATCCCAATTTCCCTATAAACTTTCAAATGTTCCATATTTTGTGTAAAAAACATGAGGATGAACAGTGCTCTATGTGTTGCCTAAAAGAGAAATAGTGTGGAAATCCTTCTCAGAGACCATCCATCCAGGGTCTTTGTGTATGGCACTAAATAGACTTCATTGATACTGACATAGGGCAACTTTTTCTCTTCCAAAACAGAACTGTGTGGCTAAGGGGTTACATCCAGTATGAACCTTCACAGTTTTCTCCCTGTCCACTTGTTTGCATCATGCACATGTATCAGTGCAACTTAAAGATGAGACATGCAAGGGGAAAGAGAGCAGAGAGCCTACAAAGCAAGCACAGGCCATCCATGTGGATCTCATAGTGTATAAAACCAGGAGGTCTGGCTTCTCAGTTCTGATAGCAAGGCTGACACAGCTACCATATACAATATGCCAGCTACAATATACAATATACAATATGGACAATAGCTGAGTTCTGTTGCTGAGACACTAAGAAAGCAAGCTGATTGAGGAAGTCCGCCTCACAGGCAAGCTGTGCAGCCTGCAGAAACCACCTAAGCCATCATGGAGCAGAGGAGCTAGGGTGTGGAGGTGCTCCCACTTTTCTGGGAGGTGCAGGTTTCCCCAAAGCCTCGCTTGGCTTGGCTCGCAGGGCACTTTCTTGCCAGCATGGGAGGTAGGACCAAGAGAAACCCTTGTGGGTGAGCCCTCATGTCCTGCTGGGTGGCTACCTGAGCTAGTGGGGCTGAATGGAAAATGCCTGATGTCTCCTCCAGCTACAGCCCTCAGTGCTCGTGTAACGAACAGGCAATAACAGCACACTACTGATTCATAGGATTTTCAATCTAAAGACTTTTCATTTTTCTTTTTAATGTCCCTAGGCATATTGAACTCCCATTTTTAACTGAATTATTTTTTTCATTGTAGTAATGTAATAGCCAACATTACTGTAACTCAGAGTAGAGAGAATGTTATTATTTTTTTCTGTATTTAATTTATACATTTGGCAGCATTTTGTGCCTCTCAATTTTATTATTTTCTTTACACAGTCAATTAGTTCTTAATGTAATATGGATCTTTCATCTTTTCAGTTTAAAAAAATGTAAAAACACCAAGAAAAAGATAAAACCACATGTGGTTAGGAAAACAGAAAATGCGCTTCAAAAATGTAATGTTTGTAATGCATAAATGCTTTCTTTAATTTATTAGATTTAATGTTAATAGTATTCATTTAAATTTTGCCAATAATTCTGTAATTTCAAAAGTAAAAACCATGTATACAGATATAATAAAAGGCAGCGTACACAGATAAAACACAGATAGTATACAGATGCTCTGTATACTTTTCCACAAAACTGGGCCAGTAACAATAGCTCAGTTCTGAGCTGAGACTCCCATTTTTATATTGACATTATCTTTTAAAGACATCATTCTGTTTTTAACAGGCACGAGTGAGACCCCTAAACAAACTAATTCACCTTTGCAACACCATTCAGAGAACTCAGGTGTGTCTCTGTGCCCATAGATTTAAACAGATCCTTCTAAGTTTTGCTACTCCATGTTACTTCATCAGGTGGACAAAAAGCGAGATTGAATATTACCAAATTGCATGATGTATCAACTGTCTTTGGCACCTTATAAGCATGCTGCATCGAATTACCTGATACAATTCTGGAACAGAAAAATCAAATTGAGATATGGTAATTACATTAGAGCCTTGAAAAGTAATTTTAATTGAATATGATTTAAATTTTCTTTTTCCATTGCTACAAATGGGATATTTTTTTCATCTGAAAACCGTATTGTCAATGTACAAATATACATAAATTTTTATCACTCTTTTTAACATGTTCAACTGAACACTTTACTTTTGCGCAGTTCTAATTACAGGTAATGTGGTTTGCCTTTGTAAAATAGATTACAAGTCTGAGAAAAATTTCATCTGTGCATGTAATTTAAGAATGACAGTTTAGGAAAGTGAAATTATTTTGAAGGCTTCAGATGATACTGCAGGAATTTGTATTAGGATATATAAAGGTATGTTTAGGAACTGAATTACAATCAAACTCTGAAATTTTAATGCCCGCTATATTACTAAAAGGGCTCTAAAATATTGTCAATAAGGAAAATGAGTTTACATCCAGATTTAATCTATTTTCTTGGCTGGGGAAAAAAAAAAAAAAAATAGATTACCTAAATAATGTGGGTTAAACCATGATGGATTTGTCTTAAAATCAAAAGGTGCCAAACCATCCAACATTTGAATCCTGGGGAAATAGAATAAATAAATTTAACCATAAATTTTCAATAATGCCTTAGTGATTGCATAACATATTATAGGTGCTTTTAAATAAGATTCCAAATGGAATATTCACATTTCATTCATGTTATGGTCTTGCCCTTGCACACGGTTTCTGTGATCTCCTCTCCATATTTTTACTTAAAATGCCTGACACTATACATGCCAGTCAATAGCTTCCTAAGGGAAAATAATTTATATTTCTTATTGACTATAAAATCTTTCCTTTTAAATTTTTCATGTCATATTTTCTTTTAAGTTTATTTATTTACAAGTGCAAGGAAGTATATTAGAGCCAGCATTTTATATTTACTTTTGAGTATTATTTACTTCATGCATTTAAATGAAGGTTCAGGTGTAACAATATAACTGAATTTGAAAAATGTGTTCACAGAATAATGGGCTGGATGCCTCCAGTCTGGATGTCTCCTCTCCAGAGTCATTGTTCTACTCACTATATCCATCTGTAACATGCAGTCTTAGTAAAGACATGGAAATCTTACTTGAATACTGCAAAGCCAATGGAAAGGACTACATAATACACGGTGTAGAAAACTGCCATGCATATCAACAGGTTCAACAGAACAACCTGCAAAAGGGAAAAAGAGAATAAAACCTAATGCTGTGTGTTTACATTTACAAAAATAATTCCAGATGTAATTTGTAAGAATTCAGGGAATAAGAAGCACATTTGAGAGTTTCAGATCATTCAGATGTGTAACTAGCCTAATTTTTAACTTAAAAGAAATGCCATCCTTGTAATTATGTTGAAACTATAGAAAAATAAAATGTAGAAAATTGTAAAGGCGTGATTGTTGTTTTCTAGCCTCTAGAAAGTATGTCATTCCAGTGTTTACATTCAAAGGTAGGGATATAGGCAACTTAAATGAGGATAACTTAAATGAGGATAACGAGGGATAGCTGTTAAACACCTTTCAAAACTCAGTTACTTGTGAATATCTTTTAAATTAACTCCAACTCCAAATTTAAAAAATGTGCATAAAAATATGAGTTTCAGAAAGTACCACTATCTTATTATCAAACATTGGGTCTTTAAAATAAGAAACATTATAAAAAGAATTACACAAAGAATTTGTGCTTCCTAAGGTATCGTGGCATCATTATTTCTTTCATTCCGTTGAAGTATCTTCACTTCTGACCTGACGCTTCAGAAGTAATGCATCCAGAGGAAAAAATGTGAGCCTTCGCCTGATAATGTTCCTAAAATGCCTTCAGATCCTTTCTTTTCAAGTGAAGCATAATTCACATCCGTGCTCATCTAAGCTGGCTTCCTGAATTATGCAGGCCCTAGGAGTTATATTAATTCCTACAGTTATAATGTAAAATTATGTTTTGAAGTTTAATATACTTTGGTAATAACAATACAGTCTTGCTAATGCATAACACTGGCATTTTTGTTTTCTCTGATGATAAAATGACATTCCAGATGATTATTTGTGCTTCTGTTGTTGATGGGTTGTTGTTTTTTTTTGTTTGGTTTGGTTTGGTTTGGTTTGGTTTGGTTTGGTTTGGTTTGGTTTGGTTGAATGGTTGTTTTTTGTAGTTTGTTTGTTTTGTTTTGTTTTGTTTTTCTCTGTAGGGAAATAACACATATAATGAACACATAAAATGATTTAAAATTTTTCTTGCCCATTCTCCAGTTTGGCTACCAAATTGTTGAAACTAGCAATGGTGTTTACCTGACTCATTTGGTTAAGACCTTCATAGATCTCCGACATATGAAGCATTTTAAGTTTTATTGAAAATGCAATGTTGACTGTTATTCCTATATATAGGAATATATATTGTATATATATTCTATATTATTATATAGATAATATACATGTATATATTATATATAGATAATATACATATATATATTATATATATGTTCTATAGAATATATATAAAGGCTAGATTTTGACCATCTAGCCTTAGCCATCAGGCCTTTTGTGTTGTTTTACCTATTCCACTTGAGTATGAATACTATAGGAAATTTATCTTTGAATTGCTTCCTGTACTCTTAAGGGTGAGGAAACCACTGCAAAATGCTTCTTCCTATGTAAGGTTCTGTATCTGCTGCAGCTTATCCTTTTCATCGGTATTTGTGGTTTTGCCTCGTCTTCCATATTTGTTCCATTTTTCCTCTATTATATTTTTTAACCTTCCATTCTTTAATTGTATTATTAAGCTTACATTTTGTTCACCTATTCACTTCATGTTTCCTTATTTGATGCTGCTAGTATGTCCTATTTCATACTACATCTTTTATGATCCTGTATATTCTCACTTTAACCGAACTTTCTCTTATTATAAAATTTGAAGACGTGATGAAATCCTGGTGCCTTGTCCCACAGCAGTACTCTCTTATTAGCTATTCTTTCACCTTTTCATACTCTTGAGGTTGAGCTAAACTTAACATGTAATGATAAACCCTCTTTCATTGTACTTTGTTGTTTTTTGTTGTTGTTGTTATTGTTTTGTGGTTTTGTTTGTTTGTTTTGTTTGTGTATTTTTTATTGTTTGTTTGTTTCTTTGTGTTTTTTATTTGTTTGTTTGTTTGTTTGAGACATACAGACAATAGTAGTATAATTTCTCTTTATGGTAATCCTGTTCTTCTTTAGAGAAAAACTGAACATGGACACTATTAACAGCAACACTCCCCACAACAAAACTGTACTGATGACCCATAATAAGATCATCGTGGTCATTCTGATCTCTTACCAGTCATTCTGGTGCCTCAGTTGCCAGTAATTATTTTGCAGAAGCTAAATCTGTATTTCGTTTCAGCTTTTAAATGTCCCTCCATCATTTTCCACTTTACTTCAAAGTAAAAGCTGAGTGGCAGAAAATGCATTCTTAAGAATGCATTAGCTTGATTTGGATAGCATTTATTCAAGATGTCTGTACCCTGTGTTTGATGGCCTGTCCTACCTAAAAGAATTCAAACTTACAGCTTCCACTTTCAAGAAAAAAGCTGTATCCCACTTTTGATTGGATATATACTAGTAGATTTCACAATGACTAACTAGACAAAGTAATTTTTCCCCTTCAATAGAAATTACAGCATTAACAGTCTTAGTTCTGCAGTGGACGTTTTAATCATGGTCTCGATATTTAAAAAGAGGACACTGCCACAGAAAGACGGTGTTACATAAAATACTTCTAGGCACATCAAAAAAATGTACCATTCTGGTCCAAAATTCCATTTAGACCACTTTACAATAGCCATATGTGTAAACTGGGGGAAGTAGTATAAGGACATGGGAAGTACAAGTAATATTTCTTTCCAGGGATGGATGTTTTAAAATCTTAAAACCTTTTAAAACCATAGATTGCATCCACATCACAGTGTTTTGAAGACCTTGATGGGTCTTTCTTCCACTACTTTTTCAATTTGCTTTCATTTTCCTGAATACTTTCTGAAAAAAAGTACCACAACTTAATTCTGGGTGTTGTGAGAAAATACCTTGGGGTGGGGTGGGGCTTTAAACCTATTGAATGATAGTTTTAATGACTGGCTTGTGAAATGTCCTCTAATTCTTACGTTATCAGAAATAGTGAATTTTTCATTCCCTACTTATATTTTCTGTTATCCCTAATTGTTTCTGTCTCTATACTGTCCTATGTGTCAGATACCTAAGGAGAAAAGTTCTCATCTACTAAGTCCCTCCAGATACAAAATCTATACTATATCAGTGATTGCTATTGTTGTCTTTGCACTTTTTCTAGTGCTATATTCTCTTTGTAAAAAGATGTAACTAGATCAACTTTCAACTTCCTCTTCTATTAACAGGTTTTAAATTTTGTCAAGGTACAGCAAATGATTTAGTTTGAAAGTAGCAGTGACAGTTTTCATTGCCTGAGAGCAATGTCATACTGCAATAATGATCTAACAAGAATGTAATTACTATAGTGATTCTATTATTAAGTAAATTTGGACACGTAAATATGGGTCCTAAGCCTGAAAATTTATGTATGTCAAGATTTCCTGTTGAATTTCCCCAGAGATCAAATTTAGCTCAGTTCCAGAGATGGAATTGAGCTGATATCAAGTCTGAAAGTTCTTATGTTTTACAGAAATTCTTGTCTATGCTAGTCAAAAATAAATTTAAAATAGAAAAATGAAGACTATGGTGAAAAATTACAAATACAGATATTCATTCAAAAGTAAATTCTTGAAAAGTAACCCTGTATAAATTAAACAGACCATAGTGAACTGTACATAATTTTTCAGTGTATCAAAATGGCAAGCAGAGATTATGAATTGAGTATAGTAAAGCACTGTATCAAAGCAAAAGAAGCCAGTGTTTCTGTCTTTGATATGTGACACAATGAAACTGAATTTAAGAAAGAATAGGTAAAAACTAATAGGATAATAGAAGTCCTTTTTTGAAGAAAGGTAAAAGAAGTCATGTGTGCAGTTTGGCAACAGGGACTGAGGTAGGGAAAATAGTTGCATATTTATAACTAAAAAGGAAAATGAAGTATTTGGAGAAGTAAGATGAAAGAAATTAAAAGCAAACCAAACATAAAGAAATTATAAGATGCTGCAAAGTATCAAAAATCATTTCCATTTTGTAGTGTTTGAAAGACACTTGCTCTTTTTATTTATTTGCCTTTCTTCAAGAATTTTCATCAAAATTGGTTATTGAATAGTTCTATGCCCTCATCCTTACTATGGATTTTGAGGATAAAGTTGGAAAAAGTTCTTGACAAGTGATTCACAAACAACAAAGGCAAGAAAAAAAAAAGAAAAAAAAAAAAAAAAAGGATATTTTTTTTGAAATCCTCATTTTTAAATAAAAGTCAGTTTTAAGCCAAGATTTCAGAGAAAAATATAAAACATAGACAACTTGTAAATCCAATTTTCATTTTGATGTAACTTGTTATATGTTGGTAAAAGCTATAGATGAACGTTAGCTCATGCTATCTCAGTTTTATGAGTTTCTCTTGCCATACTGTGACAGAAAACAAGCCCCCAAGGCTTTGGGATTTAAGCTGGGAGAATATGAAGCAAAATAAGGAAGAGGCATTACCCTTAAACACAGCACTTGGGAAGATAAAGTGACAACCAGTTTGGAGTCAGCATTTAAAAAAAATATGTTAAAAAATGAAGGTGCAGAGAAGAACCACAAAAGAGAGCTGATGGCTAGAAATGTTTTGTTGTTGTTGTTGTTGTTTTGTGTTTTGTTTTGTTTTGTTTTGTTTTTCATTAGGACTACAGCTCTAAAGAGGTCAATCTGTTTAGCTCTGAGGGCTGATTTGATTATGATGGATAAGTTCCTTTGCAGGCGGAAAATACCAGGTATTAGGGGCTCTTTAATCCATCAGAAAAGCCACATGAAGTAAACAACTTCAAGTTATAGCTGGACAAATTCAAAAGATGCATTCAAGACATTTTCAACTGTAAAGGCAATTAGCCAATGGAACAAACTGTCTTTGGAAATAATGGATTCTTCAAAGCAAAACCAGGTGCCTCTCTGGATGAAGCTTCACTCAAATATCTCTATTGTTCAATTCTGGCCATAGGTCTTTGAATGGCTGTGTGGTAGATATATTTACAGAACCATCTGACACTTACAGATGTATGGATACTGCAAATTTACTAACCATTTATATTACTTTTATTTTGCTAGATATTGAAAAGTGAAACTACATCACTGCATTTATCACTCACAGTTGCAAGGAGGCAATATTCTATTTCTAATGCAACAGAAGAGAAACCCATCATGCCTGTACAAACTGATATTTGACAATTTATTCTATGTTTTTTCTCTACATCAAAAGAAAGCAAAACAAAAACTGAGAACATTTAATCTGTTGTCAACCAGTTTTATCTGAGAGGAAAACACAGCTCTCCTTTTTTCAATATCTTTATCGTAAATGACAATTGGCCAAATAAACTGTTTCATTCAATCTTTTGGATCATGGTGTACCCCATGGCCAGTGGGGTACAGTTCATTGACTGCAATGTTACATGCAAGTTTAGTAGCCATGCTGTACCTCACCCCCTGAAAGTATCCCTAAATCTTGGGCACTTTTTTTGTTGGGAATCATTTTTATCCCATTTCTCTGAGCAGATGCGCATTTCCTGGAATTCTCCTTTATCTGCCTCCTTTAAGCCTTATCTGCTCCAGATGCAGATTTGTACTGTAATAAAAGTGGTGAGACAGGACTAAAGGGAAAATAACAAAGCTGAAGGAAGGCTGTGAGCTGATGGCCTGTTGACCTCTAATTACAGTAGGTGAATTCCTGGCCTCTCTTGAAGTCAGGGCTAAACTTGCATTGGCTTCAAAGGCCCAAGATTTTTCTCTTTATACCCAGAATATTCTAAGTTCCTGTCTAATGTAGTGAGGTATTAGCTTGCTTTGCTCACTTGAGTACAGCTAAAGAAAGGCATGCAGTGCAGTGCTAAGAATATACTCAAATTAATAACACAAAAATAGAAACTTTTTGAAAAATTTCCATTTCTATAACATTCAACTTCTTTTCCTTTCCTGAAATTTATATATATATATTTAAAACTCAAAATATATTTTATTTTCAAACTATTTTTTCCCTTTGTAACCCCTCAAATATTTCAAAGTGGAAAACATGAGTTAAAAACTACAGGGTCATTTATTATATGCTAACACAATTTAAAGAAAGAATGTTAGGAATACCCTGGTATCATTAAATTTTTGATTTTATTAGGCAATTCCAAGAATTAGATCTCATAAATGCAGCTACAGCACATATTCTTAAATCCTTCTTGTAAGGTGTACTTTGCAGTACTTACTACCAGACCAATAATAAGCTCTCCCGTTCTTTTTGCTTTTTAGGAAGCGAACATTGAATAATACTCTGTAAGAATGAAAGCAATTGCTTTTTAAAGACCTGCAGTAGCTACCTAATACTCTAAATACTACCCAGTGACATACAGCACTACACAAACTCAATTCCCTTTACCTTGGTTTCAGCAGTTTTGACCTTGAGAGCCATGGACACATGATGAGTGAGAGGAAGTGATGTTGCTATATTCCTTATGTCAATATCAGTCAGAAGAAGCAGCTGTTTTTCACCCCAAAAAACATTCTTATAGGTGAGCATAGGACAGAGTGAGGTAGGTTGATTGGATTAAACTGAATTGAGACAGAAGCCATCTGTGAGCTAACTGTAAGCGGCTGAAGACCAAACAGAAAATCCTACTCACTCATTTAATGATCATACTTTTGTACCTATGGTCAACTAAAGCATATCTATAATACAAGTTGGCCATTTAGAGACAAAACTCTGTATTCTATTTTCTACCTTCTGTTTGTTGTTTGTTGTTTTTTTTTCAGCATTCATTTAATCACCACTCCTTGGGTTTATTACACCTTCCTACATTTAATTAGTTTTACAATTTCTAACATTAATTCTGTTGACTGTACATGTAGAACAGTACATTCTTCACATTGTTCCTGTTAGCATTTTTATTCTATCACTTTATTACATCATGTATAATTCACATTAAATTAGGTATAATTAGGTTAAGAAACGACAGACTTATGTTATGACTCTTCTCCTTTTCCTGAATCATTTTTTTTTCCTTTAGTAGAATGAAATTTAGCATGCTCTAAATCAGATCCACCTTCTACTAAGCAGTTCCTTAATGGATTTGGATTTGACTTTTTACAGACATGTTATGATTCACTATGCTGCATTACATAGAAAAAGAGCTAATATAAGGGAGTATTTCTGAAACTGAATGAAGAATGATTTATTTATTTATTTACTTTGTTATCACCAACATAATCTGAGCAAGTTTCTTTTTTTTATGTTTTTTTTAATTGTACAAAATTAATACTATCTGCTTTAGGATGTCATCTGTAGTCAGCTAAACAAGAGCTTCTGCTCATGAATTGGATAGTTCCAGATTGTGAATACTGTCAGGGAAATTACAGGTAGTATCCTGTGAAATTTCTTCCTGTGCAAAATGCTAGCACAGAAGTCTGTGCATCAGTTAAATAGTATTTTGATAGCTGAAGTGATGTCAAAGGAATAGAATGAAACAACAATAACAACAAAATTAATTTGTTTAAATTGTTGCAATAGTCACAAGTAGCAAATTAATGAAGAGATATGTTAGCAATTTTTATTAATTAAAAAATGTTTGAAAATGAACAAAAGGTTCTATTCAAAGAGTATCATGTCTATCCAAAAAGATCAACTGAAAACATTTGTGACATAAAATTTGCATAAAGATTTGCAGTAACCACGAGTAGCAATCTAATTGAAAAAATAATGGATTGCATTAATCTAATACCATTAATAAATATAATATTTCACTGACATGTTCACAAAGAGTCAATTTAATCAGACGAAGTTTGAGGATAGAACTAAAGTCACTGAGTTTGACTGAAATGTAATGGAAGCTATAGACATGGATTTACTGAGGAGATTGAGTGCTTCTTCCTGTTCCTATTGTGAAGCTGAACATTTTAAATACTCTGAGAGAGAGGATAGGATTTCTGTTGCAACCTTGCTTACAAGCATGGAAACAACTGAATTGTAGTAACAACAAACAGCAGCAAATCATAACTGGGAATGACAGAAACCGTGTGATCCAAAATACTGACTGGAAAGTCAATAATGAATGGCAATGGAAGAGATATTGTGTTGCTGTTAGCAAAATGTTGAGATAATGGAATAATCATTTTGGTATTCTTTTTCTTATCTTCTTTTTTACTAGGTCAGCTATAGGAAATATGACAATTCCTATTCAGCACGGAGAGACAGAAGACAAGTTTTAACACAGGTTAAACTAAATGATCTATTTTGGTTTCAACTAGCCCTGTTTTTTTTTTTATTATTATTATTTTTAATTACAGACTGTTTTCTGAAGCATTGCAGTGCAGATTGTTATTCATGATATGAGGAAAAATAGTACGACATTAATTTTTAACCCCTGGAATTTGTGCTGTTTTGTGTTACGGAAACACCCAGGAAAAAGTTACTTCAGTAGCTTATCCTCACACGTTTGAGAATTGTTAATAAACACTGTTATTTGGGATTTGGTTGTACCCATGTACTTCTTTCATATGAATATGGACATGGCTTAACGAATAGTGATCAAAGCATAACTGCAGACAATTGCAGAACAGGGAATAATTGCAGAGAGCTTTTGAAAGTGAAATTAAGTATATTTCTATAAGGCAGTATCTCTTTCAAGTAACTGATAATGGCACTTCATATTACCCAGGCACTACCTACTTTCTATTTATTACCTGGGGCAAAACAAAATATATTTTGTAATAATGAACTGTGAGAAAATTTATAAATGCTTAGTGCTTAGTTTGCTGTCTAAGCTCATTGTTTACATTAAAAAAAAAAAAAAAAAAAGTTCCCATGGAAATCCACAATTTATAATGCAAATAAAATTGCAAAAAAAAATAATTAACAAAAATTTGAATAAATATATCATATAGAAATATTGCACAAGTATCTCTCATGGAAGTTAACAGGTGATTTATGTTGCTATTACACCGATTGTGGGCTCTAAAATACACTTCCCCATTAAGATACATAGCCAGACCCAGAAATGCAGTTCTTAGGTTATTTGAAACAATGAAAAAAATTAGAATTGGGGAAATTACTGAAATCCAAAGTATGTTGATTCATTACCCAGCAATCCTAAAGAAAATGCAGAGATCAACCAAATGGATGCTCTCTACATTCTGTGGTGAGAGATGACATCAAAACATGTGTACTCTGTCTCCATCTGCTGATGGGAGGAACTTTTCTTAAACTGTGGAGGAGGAAGAGCTTTGGAAATAGTAAGTGGCCACTACCTTTATTGTTTTACTATAGTGACTGCAAGACTATAAAGACTATGAAGTGAAGACAATTTGATGAAAATACATATTTTAAAAACAAAAAATCACTTACATTTATTGACTTACATTGTATTACAACTGTTGTAAATATAAGTTTATTGTATCTTGAGAAAGACACAACCCATGCATAGGTCAATGTTGATCATATATGTACTATACAGCCTTAATATGACAGCTTGGTTTCCAAGCTTGGAAGCAGAGAATTCTGTGAGTTCTAGGCTCTACCTCTTTGAGGATCCAAACAATTAGGTTCTTTCCTTCTTTCGCCTTGGCTGCAGATGGATAAATTTTGAGGGATCTTTGAGGGATAAATTTTGAGAGATCTGAGAATTCAGTGGACGTAGGAAGGTACTTCGGATGGACCAGTCTATTACTAGTTTCAAAGTTTGTCAGATTGCCTTTAACAATGCCCTCCTTCCTGATAACAGCATGTAAATGAACTTTTAGCTCCTGAAAAGTTGTCTTCTTGCATTTCAGCATAAAAGGTCACAAACTCTAAAATGTTCATTGTACTAAATCAAATTGTTTAACTCAAAAATTGGTATAATTCTTTCTGATTTGCAAACAGTAAATGAATTAAATTCCTTTTGAGATACTTAACCCTAACAAGCTACTTGTATCTATGGAGCTGGCTTAATTTCAAAAACTGTGAATGACATTTTTTGTTTTGTCAACTGATGAGTTTGAAAACAAGTTCAATATAGAACTTTAAAGTGTTGGCAAAGGAACCAATTTAATAGGCTTTATTTATTCAAACTAGAAATTAATTTTATTGTTTGTAAGTGGGGTGGGAGTAATAGAACTGGAAATGAAGTCTTTTATTTATCTAGAGAGACGTTCTCACATGATTGCAGCAAAGTAAACTTTCTACCCTGGCCCTACTATATGTCTAAGAACCAAGTGTAATTGTCTGTATTAAAAATAATAATAACAATAATAATAATTTTAAAAAAAATCTATATTTTCTATATCTCTTTTTGCAGAGAAGCTTAATGTGTTTATTGCCACAAGCCCAACTTTGGAAGATATTCTGGCATCTCCACTAGTGTTAGTGGGAATTTCTGATGAGTGTAGTGAAGCTCTGAAAAATCTCTTTAGGACTTTGGCCCATGGAAAATGGAGGAGAGGATTGTAAACTTGTTGTTGCTGTCAGAGGAACATTTATCATGCTGGATCAAATGGCCTGAGAGAGTTGAGGCTTCCTTGCACACCTGCACTCCCTCTCCTTGTTGGCAGCACAGACACGAGGACCCTCTGACCCATGGTCTGCCTCCAGCTGCTGGCACCACAGACGTGCACATGACATGGTGTAGATAGTACCTCACCCAAGAGAGTTCTAAAGGAATTTAAGGAGAAAATGGGTCAGACCATGCTGATGAGGAGCAGGCCATGACTTGTCTGCATGCTGATTGGAAAAACATCCATTTGACTGCCCATTTTTATCCCCTTACCCCTCTACTTCCTAACATTTGTTCCTCCCCAGATCACCTAAATCCCTCCTTTTCAAGCTTTTAGTTCCTCCCCTGATCATCCTGTAATAAATCCTGCACAACGCCCAAATGATCTTCCCCATAATGTGTCCTACACCTAGGCAGCAACCTTCTAAAAGGAGATCTGGAGAGCTGCTCCAGATGGGTTGTGATGGGCCTCACACCTAGGGGCTGAGGGTCTCCTGGGACAGCCGTGGGAGGCATCTAGACAAGATGTTTGCTCCTGTGGTGTCAGCTTGGCTTCCTGCCTGCCATTGTGTCCTTGTGCTCCTCTGGGCATGAGATGGGCCTGTGATGGGCCTGGTAGTAGCCCAGCACGGTTATGTGGGCTCCACCTCTGATACTGTCTCACTGTGCTCCTCTATGAGTATGCAGATGAGCCATTATCACATAGCCTTACAGCTAACAAACCTGTTTCTCCACCATTTGGAAAAGCCAAAACCTATCTGACAGGACTCAGTGGGTGATTTTGGAATGGTTCAGCATTTTATGGGACTCCATTTTGTACTTGGGTGTGCTAGCTGGCATGGGCAGGAACCTTTCCAGCCACCATTTGATTCTACGTGCAGTCCCATTTCTGTGCCCAAGAAAGTTCCCGGTCCTGCTTTGATTTACTGGGGTAGATGTAACTATG